ACTAGCTGGAGGGAGGGGGAACGCGGGGAGCACGGGGGGTTGTATTGGTGGGGTAGGAGAAACGCTGGGGGTCGGGGGGCATTGACCGGAGGGAGGGGAACGCGGGGAGCACTGGGGTCACCAGGAGGGGGGGGGAGGAGGAACGCGGGGGGGGCTCTGGCCGGAGGGAGGGGGAACGCGGGGAGCACTAGCAGCGGGGGGGGGTGCACTGGCCGGGGGAGGAGGAGGAGGAACGCGTTGGGGGGGGGCAGAGGGAGGGGGAACGCGGGGAGCACTGGGGACATTAGCAGCTTTTCTGCTCTCTTGCTCAGATGGAAGCAAACCCCCATTCTGAACAGGGGATTCTCAGTGAGGCTTACCCCACTGGCTGACTGAGATGTTATCAAGTTAACCAGCATTTCTAAATAATGAAATGCATTTTGCAGTTATGAAAGTTCCTGTTTTCCCTCCACCCTGAACTGTTTTGAAACCCTTTCGAAGGGAGCTGTCATCTTATTGGGCTGAAAAGATAGCACTTCCTAAATTGTTTCAGATTTATGTGAGGCTCTCGCTGCTGTCTTGATGTCTCATTTGTTTCTTTCCCATCTAATGCTTAAATTGCTGATCTCAGGTTTTCTCTTTATTAGAATGAAGAATCCCTCAATAGTTGGAGTCCTGTGCACAGATTCACAAGGCCTGAACCTTGGCTGTAAGTAACAAAGCAGCTTCTTTGCTTCAGAAAATGGGCCCCTTTCCACTTTCATGTTGTACCAGGAACATTTTAATGTTGAAATAGTGTACATGCTTTAAAATACACACTAGAAAAATAAATCTGCTGTCAGCTTTGGGCAGATCCCTGCAGTTTCTGTTAAAAACTCTCCATTTCCTACTCCTTTAAAATCCCGTTTTATTCTTGCTCTCTCCTGTCCCAATATTTTAAATATCAAAGTGTACATGGTCTGTCTGCCTGCCTGGACCAGTGGTTGCCAACTAACTCATTTTTTAAACATGCCCCCCCCCCCACTAATGTGTATAGGGGGAACAACTAGCCTTTGTTTTAATAGTGAAATTATTTGTATTGCTGTAGCTAGGGTGCCTTGGTGCTATGGACCAGGTTCCTGTTTGTCCTAGCACACAGAACAATCGAAGTATAAAGACACAGCTGTTGCTGATTTAGTAACAGGTGGTATCTGATCACTGGCCAGTTACTTAAAAGGTTGGGACAAAATGTGGAATGAGGAGCCCAAGAATGAACTGTAATTGTAAAGCTTGCCCTTGACATAGGTATCTTGATAGGCTTATAGGTAAACAGATTAGCCTCTTATTTCAGTCAAAATTAAAAGAATGGGTTTGCCTGAAATAAGGCAGCATTGGATACTGAACATCAGGGTATGCTGCAAATATGACTATATAAATCCACCAAAATCACAGTTGTGATGACCATATTTATCTGGGAAGGGTACAGATAATGTGGTAGTAAGCACTGGCAGGGAAAACTCCTTAGAATGCTTTAGCAATTATTGGGATAATCTGAAAAATGGGTTCAATTAGTGCACACAGTTCAACTAAATTCTTGGGCTGGCTGGCTATGTAGTTACTGCCATGTAATGAGAAGTTTTACACTTACATAAGGATGTGTGTATTTTATAGGTCGTGGAACTCTTTCAGATGAACATGCAGGTGTGATATCAGTTCTAGCCCAGCAGGCAGCCAAACTAACTTCAGATCCTACTGATGTTCCTGTTGTGTGTCTGGAGTCAGATAATGGGTGAGCATCTGGAGCTGTATGCCTATCATTAGGCTCTGGGAATATTAGATCTTTAGAACAGCCTCCTTCACTTCTATGTGGTTCTGCTCATGTGCCCCTGGTTATGACAGATAGAAGGCTAGAAAGCTTCACCCCCAGTGGCACATATGGCAGCAACTCTAGGAAAGTCATTCTTGCCTTTCTCTGGAGCTTGAATGTGGATTGCTTATTAAAATTGGGGACCTAAGGCATGGATGAATGTAACCTTGTTTCTATACATACTGCATGCTTCAAAAAGCAGAGAGGCTGCTGCCAGATATAAGGAAACAATACTAGCTATTAGTCATTCCTGCAGCATGTTTGTAATGGCTACTTAGACCTTATGATCCTGTTTTAATCCTCCTGAAAACTTTTCACAAAAGAAGGGAGACCTGATTCCCAGGAATCTCCCATACTTCAAGCTTTTGAAATACCTGGAGGTGTTGGAGTTAGGTGGGAAGATTAGAGCCCAAATGTTTTCAGAGTAGGCAGAGGTGGAAAATGGAGTCCTTTGTGTACAGGATCTAATCCAGGGGTGTTCAACAATTTTTTTGGTGGCCTCACTGTGGCCACCATGACAACTTTTCCTAAAATTCCTAATTAACTTTAGAAAAAAAATAAATATCCACATATATATGTCTAAATCATAGTAACTTATATATGTAGGGGTTTTTCCACAGACAATAATAATGTACAGTTGTCTCTATTTACTGGACCTAAACAGAAAAACACAATGTGCTTTGCATGTTCTGGTTTTGTTTTGCTTTTTTGGCTGCGTTTTCTTTTTAGACTTGCTAGCTAGTAAGTCTGTATTTGTGAAAAGTAGTATTTGTACGTGTAATCACTTTTCACAGTAGCAGACTTGTTAGTTAGCTAGGAGGTAGTGAAAAGTGATATTAACAAACATACAAATATCACTTAACTACAGATTTACTCAGCCCTGGTAAGGAGTGGGGTGGGGTAGAGGGCAGGACAGAGAAATTAAGCTGTGGATAGGGAGGCAGCAAGGGATGATGGAGCCTGTCAACATGCAGCTGCAGTCTGCCACCCCACAGCAGAAGCCTGAGCCCCACTGCCCCTGGGAAGGTGGGGAACTCTCACTGGCTGGCTCCAGATGGGGGCAGGGCCAAAGCTCTGGGGGAGGGGCTACTGCTTTCCCCCCTCACTGCCCAGGAGGCTGTGGCTGCAAGAAAAGCCCCTGCTGGCTGCATTTGAGAAACACTGCTTCCTCTCTGACAGCATGCACCAGATACTAAACTTGTGTTAGTGACCTGCAGATTAGCTGCAGTGTGAGAACTCTTCTGAACTGTAGTAGCTATAGCTATCTTCAATAATGGTTTCTGTTTATTTCAGGAACATCATGATCCAGAAGCATGACAGCATCACTGTGGCAGTGCACAAAATGGCATCTTGACCCTTCATACATCTGCTTGGTTCTTTTCCACCCTTGGACCAACTCTTTGTTGTTGGACTGATCTATTTCCTCTGCTGATCTCATACAGAAAGTGCTTGCAGAACTAATTCTGGGCCAATCTTAAATATGTGGTAGCTTCCCTCCTTATTTAAACTGGTACTGTACTTCAGTCAGGGTCTAACTTCCAGCACAGCCCAGAACTTACTGTCAAGCATGGAATGTGGTTTAACTTACCTTGCTTCTGTAATGATCAAATACCCTAACCTGTGGCCTTACTTGTTGAATTCAATAAATTATCTGAGATGAAATACGCAGCTGGCTATGTAAGCTTCAGTTGAATGCTGGTTTGTCTGAACCTCAGTGACTAATACTATAGAGTCAGTCTTTTACAGATACATCATCCTCCCCCCTCCAACTAAGGTGGTCATCTTACAATAAAGATCCCTTGCACTTCTCACTGGTCCTCTCTCAAAAACAACAGGCAAGCTGATTTTTTTTCTAAGGTAAACAAGCAGAAAGCTTAACTCACGCAGGTTGCCTTTATACATCAAAGAAAGAGCCAAACCTCAGTAAGATTCTTTGTAGGACACCTTTAATCCCATCTGGCTAAAAATACATACATTTATAAACAGTTTCCTTGTCTATTACAAATGTCTTGGCTTAAAATTGAAGTTTTAAGTTCAATGGCACTACTTACAGTGTTTTGCTTCTCCTGTTATTGTTTTGATACTGGAAATGGCAGCTTGACAAATCCAATTTCACATCATGATTCTCACACTTTAACCCCTAATGATACTGTTAAAATTACAAACACTGCAGGGGAAACATTGTTTAAAAACTCCCTCCCTTGGTGTTCAAATATATAGGGAAACATTTGTTTTACGTATGGTAAAAGCTTACTTACAAAACCTAGATATGGGGCCAAATTCGACCTGACAATGTCCCAATTACTAAACCCATGGAGGTACAAATATCTTTACTGCATGGTTTTAAATCAGTATGAGAAAGGTGACTTTAGTTCCTCTTCAGTATTGATAGATAGGTAGTGGTGGACTCAGAGTGGATAATGTCAACATCAATATACAATACTAGACCCAGTGATTTTTAGCATTCCATTAGCAGGAAAATGGTGTAACTATTAGTCCTAAATCTCAGAGCAATACAATCCCTGATAGGGATATGGCCAAATGGATCCTTACTTTTCAAACTTCCTGTGTGATTGTTAAAAGCTGTTCCTCTTGCATTTGGTACCCTCCAACCTCCTGTAGTGCCAATGGGGACTAGGAAGTATTCTTACAGCTCTGTTGATTATGGTCTCTCGCCATTATAGCTTTGACCAATACCCCATTTCAAATCTCTTGTAAGGAAGTGAAATGTCAAGTTTAATTTCCCTGGTGATCAATCATAGTCACCAAACAATGCATTAAAGTAAAGAGTATATTCTTAAATTGTCCAGGATGCCTTAAGATCCTCTTAGTTTCACCACATATACTGAGAAAATCTGTCAACTCTCTGCTAGTAAGGTAAGTTGTCAAATTTTTCTTTAAATTCATTTTCAAGTTTATAGGCTCGTTGCTCTTAGCTGAGGGAGTGCTGTGGTATTTTGGAGGGGGGTTTAAACACATTAATGATAGTGAAACAGTTGAGGCTGCTGTGCCAAATCTAAGATGAGACAGGATCTGTGCTGGATTTTTAAAAGGGGATCAGAGGTTTTTGGTGTTCCAATTAAAATACAATGGGGCACAGAATCTCCACCCAGCAGAGTGGATAACGGAATAAGGGAGGCTGCGCAACACATGAATACTACAGTCTGGGGGGGGTGGTAAGCTTGCTCCCATTGTGCTTCTGTTCTCATGGAGCAGATTTCCTAAGCCACTTCCAAGGGGAGCCTCTACAGCCAGAAGAACCTCCACATTGCTGCATTGAAGCGTATGCCACTTTTTCCTGAAATGAATTGAGCTGCTGCAGGAGAGCCTAGGATTGCAGATGAGAGCTGCAGGTCTCACCTGTGGCCACTGCTAATTAATAATTTCACTCACTCACTGGGAGCTCTCCTCCTCTGTTTGCAGCACAAATCTGTGTGTATGATATGTCCACTGCAAAAAAGATGTTTTCCTTTGTTTAACAGTGTGATCATACACGTTAGCTAGCCTACATTAAAATCCTACAAAGCACTACAGGATAACCATGTGACGTCAACATTATACCTCTATCAGTGGTTGACCTCATCGGAAAACTACAGTGCTTTGCCTCCACTAAGGTTTTACAGCAGGCTAGCTAATGCATATTAGTTTCGCTGCAGTAAAAACACCATTTTTGGCAGTGAAGACATTGCTTTAGCCTGGAAGTGTTGGGGCAGCTGCCAAGCACCATGCCTCAGGAAGGTCTCCAGGCAGTCCTTGTGTCAGGACTATACAAACATTCAACAGTGAATTAAGGAATATGATCTTGCTTATGGTACCTGCTATACGGCAGGGAGGGAATCCCTCTGTCTCTGGTTCCCCATCTCTACCTGCTAAGATGGGGACACAAAAGTTCAGATGTGGCTCCTGTACTGGAAGCTGGTTTTGTACACTGATGCCACCTACTGGCCCGCGTGGTGACTAACTAGCAAAACCTCATGGCTGCCCTCAAACCTTCCCTTGCAGTTTTTGGGCAGCACTTTAAGGACTCAAATTTCCTCGAAGCAGGATACTTTTAGCAGAGAGCTTCATTTCCCCACCCTTGGTCTTGGGTAAGGGGTGGGGCTGAAATGCCTTGAATATGCTAATTACTTTGAGGGGAGGGATAAAGTCCAAAGGGCCCTGCACTTAGGGGGCTGCTTTTTTTTTTTTTTGCGCTAGGTCTGCCTCCTTTGCTTCGTGGCTTCTTTTAGAAGAATGAGCCCTGTGTTCCCTAGTGCAGAGAGGAATTAAGGAACAGACTTAAACGAACTAACTCAGGAGGCTGTAGCTAGTCGCAACAACAAATGAAGACAGATTTTCCTTAATCTTATTTTTGCAGCATCTTATGCTATGCATCATCCTGACGGTAAGAGAAAAGCTTTGGGTTACAATCCTGCTAACCCCCTTGCAGGTCTCAGCTGCACTATGAGGCAAAACTCCTAGAGCAAACTCAGTAAGAGACAGAAACCTCACAGATAAATGGTGAAGGAATAAAATGGCATAGCTGCAATGGGGTTGGGAAGAGGTTCAGAGAGGCGCTGAGTGGGGTATTGTCACAGACAGATGATGAAGCAGGCTCCCCTAGTTCTGGCACAGACTGAATTATGTATAAATACACCCAAGGAAACATACCTGAACATGCATGAGTCATCCTTACTTGCGGACAGCTGTAGTCTAGAAATGAGTAAAAAGGTGGGAGTTAGAAGACCTGAGTTCCATCTCCAGCTCTGCCACAGTGTGACTGTGTAAACCTAAGTGCCTCTTCCCCAAAGGTATAACAATGCCTAACCAGCTTTAAAAAGCAACTTGTGATCGCTGACTAAATGCAAAATATTATCTCCCATGTTAGCAGCAGCAGAGGCTGGTAAACAGGAGGAAGGATAGATGGAAGCAAGTGTCAGCTTGTTTTTAAAGTAGGCCAATACTGCAAAGTGAATTTTGAGTCTTGTTTACCTAAAAGAGCCTGATCAGTATGGTGAAGTGTGACTATTCCCTGAAATTCTCATTTGAAGGAGAAAGGAAGGGGGCAGACGCAGAGAATCAGCCAACAGCAACGAAGGAGGAGGAACAGCAACCCATATCAGCCCCTGATGGAGGATGGGGATGGATGATAGTGCTTCACTTCTTTCTGGTAAGTAGAGAACTCCCAAGGGTCCCACAAGGTTAAGTCCTGGAGGAAAGATGCTTTCACCGGTTGTGTTCTCACACAGATTGCTTTTTAGACAACAAAACCAGCATATGATGCACACAGGGTTGATTCTAACATGCTCATGGTAGAGATTAACATTACCAAGGAGGGCAGGAGTCTTACTTTAATGAGTCTAGCAAGGATTGATCTCTGTCCTTCATTAAAAAGCAGTTGGACTTGGTACTCTTTGCTTGTGAGAGCTTCCCCCCCCCCACCCAAGTCTCCCGAGATAAGCATTGTCGCTGTAGAGATCATACAGCTTTCCTATTACTTCTGGTTAGCTTGATAACCATAGAGGAACCCAACTCTGGTCTCCTTCATGAGGCTCTGTGGGGGAAAAAGGCTGCAGATTCTCAGCTAGTGTAAATGCAGTTGCACCAATTTACAGCAGCTGAGAATCTGGCAGGGATGGCATTTACCAGAGCTGTGTTTTAACCAAGTAAAATCATGGTTTTCACCAACTAGTTGGTCCCAGTTCAAAGTATTTTCTATTTTAAAAAACTGTTTCATTAATGTACACCACATTGCTTAACCTTAGTTACATATTCAAAGTGTGGTTCCATAAGGCAGAAGATTCAGTGATTAGTTTAGGTTGTTGTACAAATACAAATTAAAACTGCAGTATACATAATACTAAACATCAGAATATCTGTATACATTTTGCTCTGGTATTTTCTCAAGGAACTTAGATGTCATGACTCTTATTTTCATATTATGTAACCAATATATTTAGCAATTTGATACTTTTTTTGCAATCTATATATTTCAGTAATTTTCATTAGTAGTCTAATAACTTCATTTTTCCCAGTTTAAACTGGTATTTACCAGTGCTCTGTCCTAAACTAGTTTTTCCCAGGAAATTGCCAACCCTGGAATCTGGCCCACAGTCTGTATACAAGAATTACTTGTTAAGCCGCTGCAAAATGGTAAACGCATTTACCTGCAATTTGTACGTTAACATCAAATAGTACATATAGTTGTTATTGCTATAAGCACATTTTGACCATGGATGTCAAAGCACTTCACAAGCTTGTTTAGCTAAGCCTCCAAGGTAGGGAGCCTTATATTACCCAGATTTCAGAATGTCACAGCTCAAGACAGCAACGCTATGAATAGGAGCCAGGCATCCTGACTCAAGTGTGTTCAGTATATTATACTACCTGCTTATTTACCAGTCGGCTATTGGAAAAAGAAAATTAGGCAGCCTGGCAGCTTCTGACTGGGAAATCTTTCCAATGCTCATGCCAAAAAGCCAATCAGTTCTCATCTGTCCATGACTATTGAGATTTCCAAGAATTCCAACACTCCAGTACTACTTGTTAAATCACGGACAATAAGTGTTTAGTTATTTCAAGATTTTTTTCAGTCTAGTTTTTATAAGAACTAGTTACAGAAATATGCCACACACAGTTCAAAGGAATCTGAATTTTTAAACACATCTCAAGTGCAATGCCATTCTGGTCTGTTGGAAAAATGCCCATACTGTGTAGGCTTTGCTCCAGTTAGAATGTGGGCACCACTGAGACCTAGTCACTGAATGTGTCTCTCACAATCCTACCAGACAAATGTCCCCATTTCTGCCACTAAGCAATGCTACTAGATGGCTTAGAAAGCAGTAACACACTGTCCCATCCCAATATCACATCTACTTGCAATAATGGGTGGAGTATGTGTATATATGTGGAGGAAAGGGGATTTTTTCCTGACTCTAGCTTGTCATCAGCTTTTCTCCCAATACATGAAGATTCATCACAGCCCTGAGGAACAGGGAGAGGATATAGTGGCCAGAAATCTATTTCCAACTATATGCAGCATTTCACTTCCATCTTCTTTGGATTTAGGTAAATGTGCTTGTGATGGGAATGCTGAAAACCTTTGGAATTTTCTTTGTGGTCTTTCAAGAAGAGGTGGGAGGCTCTTCAGAACAAATCAGTTGGATCGGCTCCATCATGTCCTCTCTCCGCTTCTCAGCAGGTCAGTAGGGATACATAAGGTTCAGAAAGTAGCAGAGTCAGGTCTACAGTCTTTGAATTTTAAGTCCATTTGATTGCATTAAATAGCTTACATGAAATGACCTGCCAAACTCCTATTGTCTACATGACAAACTAGTGAAATTGGCACATTTTTTGGCACTCCTAGAGTCCAAAAATTATTTGGGCCTGGACGCTGAACAACCCTCCAGGGCTAGAGGGTAATCACTCCATAGCAGGATTCAACAGCACTAAAAAAAAAAGCTATTACTGGTACTATCATACCTGTTCTTTGAAGACTTCCGTCCAAAGGGCTGTGACCCTTGGCTGACTAATGGGGAAGCTTTCTTGTCTACAGCAGCACTCTAGGGGAGCTGAACTGGTGGTGGTAGCACAGGGAAATCTTTAAAGAAGAGGGTTTACATAAACCTTTGACAAGTCACTGTGCTTCTCTGTACAGGATTGGCTATGCCATATCAAGTAAAGCAGTCTCTCCCACCACTAAATAATCCACCAATTTAACTGAGCAATGCTGTCTAAAGGGAGCAGGTTAAGGAACTCCTTCCTGACCATCTCCAAACAGGAGATTTGATTACCTCTCTCTCCACTATCCTACTTCATAGAGCATAACGCAAGTGCTCCTTGTAGCTCTGATGGAATTCTCAGAGCAGGGTAAGAGAATATCAAGAATGCTATTCTAGATGCTATTGTACCTTGAGCTCTGTGTGTGGGTGTGTGTAATTATATATATATATATATATATATATATTGTGTGTGTGTGTGTGTGTTCCTCAATCTTCAACTGCTTACCTCGCTACTGACTTATCTTCCAGGTCCACTGGTCACTATAGCCTGTGGGAAGCTGGGGGACCAGCTGACTTCCATCATTGGGGCAGGCCTAGTTAGCAGTGGTTGTCTGATCAGCACACAGGCCACTAGTATCTCCTTCCTGTGTGTGTCTATGGGACTTCTATTGGGTGAGTGTAACCTACTACAGCTCACAGGTTTCGCTCTGGCTGCCTTTTTGCCACTTTCCTGAGTGTTTGATCAAAGTGTTTACAACAGTGCACCAGCAGATCCAGATAACCATTAAGCCATGTGGCTGCTTCATTATCCTATTTATATTAATGTATCACCCAAAGGC